TATGGATCCGTGCGCCGGCCTATGCATTTGGCGCCCGGGTCCATAGCTGCCAGCAGTGCATAGTCGTGCACGACGTTCCCGCGGTCGCGTGCGCCTTGCCGCGGAACTGCGCGCAAGATCTGCGCTTATAGCGCTTCGGATTAACACCTTCTTTCGGCAACGCTTCTCTAGTATCCCGTCTCATCTGGTTTTAGAGAGCAAAGAATTCTACTTAATGCAATACCATAAAATTATTCTAGACTCGCAGGCAAAGTTGAATAATGTTGTCGTGAAATAGCACTATTTTCCCGTTTTTCCGTTGTACACTCTAGGTATTATTAGCTCTTGACATTATGGAAGCAAGTTCTATATAGCACTAGCAATTTGGTTTTAGCTTTATATACGGGGTACATAGTGATACACCTAGTCCATAGAACATTGTACAAACTTTCTGGTGTTATTCAACACAAACTTTTTGGAAGGGAATGGAAGTTTCATTAAAAGTTACACACACACACACATCGCACGCACGCACGCACGCACGCACGCACGCACGCACGCACGCACGCACGCACGCATACACATATATAGTTATATACAATGTAATTGGTTTATAGAATTTTGAAGGTTAATGCCACAAACGTTTCAACGCAAACTAGGGCTCCTTGGGTGTTTTCATTGCGACTGTGCAGAGCACGAAATAGTCAAGAAAACAGATCGATCACACGTCATTCTACCCTGTCTGTCGTACACGCAGCAGGATCACGAACTGACTTCAGTAACTAAAGTATCTAGCGCGTCCATAGTTGTCCTTGCGTGCAGGTGTGTGCAATTGATTAGTTTATCATCATTCTGCATCAGCTGCGCGGCTAACCTCTATCAAGGGAAGGCAGTCAGGAAGCGCCTGACACATAGTCTAGCGGCAATTTTTGAAAGAAACGAAAGCAATTTAAATAATGGTTTGCAAAAAGTAAAAACGGCCGTCTACGGATTTTCTCTTATCATCTGAAGCAGCCACTAGACGATTCCTTGAATGCCTATTTAGGATTTAGTACAGACCTAATGAAGCTAATAAAAACCAAGAACGTCCCCCACCACAAGTGTCCTCGGAAAAGGTCAGAGCGACAATGGCTTATTATCTAGGGGCCTGCACATCACATGTGTACTAGTATATGTATATGTACATGTATACACAACCAAGCAAGTATAGCCAGTCGGCCTGCGAGGACGTGCGCGTTGGAATCACTATTACGTCTACTCCTACATTTACATTTACAAGCCACTTAAACCCAACTCAGCTTCTCAAGTCACGCACACTAAGTGCATCAACAGAGGAGGTAGAAGCGATAGAAAATCGTATTCCATTCAAGTGGCAAATAATGTCGGAAACACCAGGAAAAAGGCAAATAATGATGGCACACACACGGTCGTTCCATTATTACTGCGGTGAGTGCCTCGCAGTGCTATCAAGACCTGGCAGCGTGATTTTTTTCCCTAGGATAATCAAGAACATAGGGCTCTAGTGAGCGCTGCCATTGGTTGATACAAATCACGTGCCTCAAACTCCTGTTTTATGGTGCATTGTGACCCTAACCCTAACCCTAACCCTATTTTGTTTTAAATAAAAAAAAATTTTTTTTTAATTGTTGTAAAAATTAATTGTTGTTATTAAATTGTTGTAAATAAATCATGTAAATATTTGCGTTAATTGGGAAAAAATTGTTAAATGGATAAAGATAGAAAAATACAGAAAACAGGAAAATAATTAAAAAACGGATGGGATTCGATCCAACGACATTTCAGCCGTGACTTCTGTGCTGTACGCGTTCGGCTATTCAGGCCTATTGGAATTTTGGATTATAGATGTGCTATGAATATGACGACACTGTGACGTCATTGAGCGACGAAACAAGCTCAACCAATGGCAGCGCTCACTAGAGCCCTATGTTCTTGATTATTCTAGGGAAAAAAATCACGCGACCTGGCATGATCAGAGAAACTGTGTCACATGACTTCTTGGAAAGTTGGGCTTTCCGCACATTTTGGTATTTTACAATATCACCGATAGTCAGTCACTGGAACATTCAGGCATTACGGCGAAAACGTCAAAACTCCGCGTGGCGTGGTAAAGCAGCATTTGCTAATAAGGACTCAATTTAATCGGAAACAGGTGACATTTCAGCAACGCAATTTTTAAAAACTGCTAGAAATTTAAATGAGACATTTATATGAAACATTTCCAGGCACTTCAATCAAAGGCAGAATCAAAGGCTACGCGAAAACAAATTAGTAACTTCAAAGGGAAGCTATAACGTAGAATCAGATTATTAACATAATGAACTGTTATGTAGCGCCACCTGGCATCAAAGAACGACTCACATTCTCTGCCCGCATCATGTCGGTGAGATGGTCGAAAAACTCGTTCTTGACGAGGTTTTTGTGAATGAGTAATGTCTCCATGGCATTGCATGCTGCCGGATAGTCACACTTCGCATCTCTCACTGCAAATAGACCATAGAGAGGAAATATCCAATCATCGCGCCACCGATAACAACATGACCTCAGGCTGGTTGAAATCAATTCTGATATTATATCGTTATTTTGTTACACGTGTTGCATCGCCGCAGGTTGAAACTGTAGAGAAATTCGTATACAAATCTACAAAAATCTGTAAAAACTACATCGTTTCTTTTATTACTCAAGTATAAATATCAGAACTAGACAGAGGGCACTCACGGAAAGTGCATACCTCCGCGAGCGTGTAACATGTATGTGTATAACAGCTGGCTCGCTGCTGGCTGCTGCTGACTGAACGCCCTAAGGTGAGCTGCTGCTGAATCGATCGCGCAGACACTAGTGGCTACACACACACACGAAGGCGAGCTGCTGCTGAATCGATCACGCGAACACTAGTGGCTACACACACACACGAACACACACACGCGATCGATTGCATGACCTCCGTTAGGTAATTACCCATTTCTCTGATTGGATAAAAGTATCAGATATTTGAAAGTAAACACCATAACAACCATGCATCTACCCCTCCCACCCTCCCATAGCACCTGCCCGTTATACTCACCCACACATAACACCCACCCACCCACCACACTAACC